CAACAAGATTCTAAGGCGATAGGGTATTCGTTTTCTTCCCAGGGAAATCTTACCAAGTGGCATTTGAAGTGAACGCCGGTTTAAACTGTTGGTCGTGTATGTAAATTCTCATACACACATATCGCGCGTGCGCATATTGCATAACAGACTCGCTTCGAATAAACACGTTGCAACGGAATACATAATTTCGACGTCGCGCTCCACGAAACGAAGTAATGAAAAGAATTGGAAGAAATGGCGAAAGAAATGACTCAAAATTGTAATCTACGCAATCACGATATGACCGTCTCATTCGTTATTGCTCAGTTCGACTAAAACCTGCCGCTACGTGTTAAAAACTGCATTTGCATAATCCGCCACGATCAGCCTCGCCATTCCCTTAATAGTAGATTTAGAATTTAGGTAAAACGTCGTTAGGATTTCCCTCCTTCGCAAGTCACTCCCTCCCCCTGCCTCACGTAACACGCACCATGAGCGCCCCGTCTATACCTACAGACTGCTACTTGGAAATCCTTTCCCGCCGGCAGGTTCCAACTTAAAGTGATTACGTCACCGTAAATAGTACAAATTATGACCACTTTTTCACAAAATGTCAGTGATTCTGTTAACTTTTTATGGTTAGATTGCTGCATTATACTTCCTATTTTGCTATTCCGTTCGATGTGAACAAACACTCGTGACTCATACATAGCCCATAGCAAGCATTTAATGTATTGATCAATATATCAAATCGCCCAGATTTGTTGGATTTTTAGCTAGTCAAAAAACAATCTTATCAGGTAAGAATTTGAGGATACATTTAGTCCCGTTAGTACTTACTTTTAATGTAAAAAAATTGCCAAAAAATTATTACAAATATACACGGTAGAAAATTCGTGACGTAGTCAATTTAACGACCCACGGAGGCGCGCACAGGCGGACACTCTCACAGGCCGACGTACGCACATATACACTGATACATGTGTGCCCGCGCACTCAAGCATTCGGCAAACATCGGCCAAATCCGCTAATCCCCCTTCTCTTCCTCGGCTAGCTGTCATCAGCGATCATTGACCGGGACTCTTCTCCTCGACATTTCCTGATCTGCCGGTCACGTGATGTCGCGACCGCTGCGCAAATAAGTTAATACTATTAATGGAATTTATCCATTGATCTTCGACGTCGTTCAAATTTGTGAGAGAATCAGTGAAAATCAGCCGGCTCTTAGCTGCGCGTAATTTCACGGATAGTTTGTCTGGAATAGTAATTGCGCGCAATATTATTTAGTTCCGGAGCGACTAGTTGCGCCGCAATAGCGCTACGGCTGTGGCAACGCACGTTAGACAAAGCCAAGGTTAGATGCACGTATAGGATGGGCCCGGACGGCATTCACGAACATGTACGCACACACACGCACGCACGCACGCACGCACGCACACTCACTCACTCACTCACGTACGCACGCACGCACACACACACGCGCGCACACACGCACACGCACGCACGCACGCACGCACGCACGCAAGCACGCACGCAGATACACTCACACATGCCCGCACGCCCGCACGCCCGCACGCACGCACGCGCGCACACAGACACACATGCACGCACGCACGGCCCTAGACGCAAGTCTTTGAGAAAAAACAATGACCGGATGACATTTGGCGTAAATAGGTAGGCCCATTACTATTATCAACACTGAAATATCATATAGCTTTTGCTCTCGACACGCCACTTCAAAAGTTACGACATTTTAGACTTTGTGATCTTCTAACTTACCTATGATGTTCCCGACAACGCCCTCCTGACCTTTGTTATACTTCACGATATAATAAACCAGTACGCAAGAGTTGCACAGTCTCTAAAGGAAAAAAACCCAGATATGCACTTCACCCACAGGTGTTCGTTCTATATAACTCCCATATATATACTATCAAGAGCTAATAATACCTTATTAGGTATTATTAGGTAGGTTATTAGGTAGGTTATTATGATTAGGTATTATTAGCTCTTGATACTATATATATATATATATATATATACTATATACTCTCTATAACTGCCACCCGATAGGAACGCCATATGCGACCTTTACAAACAGGTGCCCGTTCTAAAGAAGTGTCCGTTCTAAAGAGGTGTCCGTAAACACAGACTGTACCGCAGGCGGCCTGAAATGGTTAATAATACATCGCTTCATCTTCCCGATCACGAGACAAAAGATACACAGTCGCACCGACGCGCGCTCGTTTAGATTTGACTTAGAATCGGTGATGGAAATCGGATAACTTGATTTGCGCCGAGCCGATTCCATGCAATGAAGCTTGAAACGGGATTTTACACTCGCACACAGCAATGTGAGGCCCACTCTCGGCGGTGCAGCGTGCCAGACAGCCCCCTTGTGGCGAGCGTCCCCCCATGCATTGCGCATGGGCAAATAAAGGTAAAATCGCCGCGCGTCGATAAAATGTACCACACGACCTGTTATACACGTACTAGCTCTAGAACTATAGCCCTTCACTCTGCCACAGGTGCAGAGCGAAGGGCTATAGTTCTAGAGCTATACACGTACGTGCCCATGCGCAATGTACAGGGGGGACGCTCACCACAATTGGGGGTGTCTGTCACGCTAGACCGGGGATCCAACGTTATATGTATTGCGAATACAAAATGACCGTAAACGCTATTCATTTTCGATGGCGAATTCGTAGATTCATTTTCAGGTTTGGCCCCTCCCCCCAGACAAAACGAGTTAACTACGCCCCTGAAGGTTCTTCGATTTTCCTCTCTTCGATATCTGCCACGATTCTATTCTTCTTGCTTCATGTTCGGAGGCGAATTCGTAGATATATTATTACAATGCGCTTAATTATACGCGTCGGAATCAATTTCATTTATTAGTGCTGCTAGTTTCAAATCCCGATGATTCAAAGCTTTGCGGCATGTCACCCACTGACATAAACTAATTCCCGCGTCGTAACACCCAGAGATGGATGATCAAACGCACGATCGAGCTCCGATTTTTTTTCGCGTGTCGCTAGTTGCCGGATTAGTGTCGCGTGCAGATGTGATAGAAGCAGACGGAAATTGACGCGTCTGTCCGTCCGTCGCCATAAAAACGCTGACGTAGTCGCAGCGGCAAGCGGAGCACGAGAAAGACACACTCGCGCGTTTGCACACACCGCGCTTGTTCGACACATGCACTAGCCGTGTGTAATCGGAGTGCCTCTTTCTCTCTCGCGTCGCTTGAAATTATCCCTCGCAAGAATAGACGCGAGAGAGGCCTTTTAGTATGAATGCTTCAAGCGAAATTTGAAGTAATAGATGTTCATTTAATAATATATGGTGATCTCGGAATTCCTGTCAAAGGCCTCCGCTGTAGCTATTTTTGTACTCGCATGAGATCCTCATATGCATTCGCTTTTGAACGGAGATGTGCGTGCGCCGTGAGAGACAGAATAGAAACGTTGTGTGTCGTTACACTTCGCTGCATGCTTGCCACTGCGCTCGCGCCTTTCATCAACATGTATAAAATTCCCCCACAGAAATATTTTTTTTGCTTCTCTTCGGTACTCTTCTCACATATAGTGAGAACACCTCGCGAATAGTTTAGTTTTAATTTGTCCGATAGGTGGCGCGATTGCAAACGATTGGTCGTGAATCTACATGGAATAAATTTCTAATGGTAATTTTGAGAATCCGCTGGGGTCATTTAAATTCAGATGGATATATTGACTAAAACTATTGTTCGCGTCAATCGAGATACAACAAAAGCGAAATTAAGGATCTATACGAAAATTAAAAAAACTTGGGGCGAATATTATATACTTGGTCAAATGCACGTGTTAATCTTTTTTATTATTACCATCTTGACATCGGCATGAGGAAAAACGGTAGTACACCTTTCTATTAAGGGACACTCATACGGTTTCTCTCGAGTGACCCTTATACAAAACTTTGTCTGTATTAATAAGGACCAAAAGATTTTGCCAGCAATCAGCATACCTATGGCGTCAGCTAGTCATGGGTCCACGTTTCGCTAGTCCGCCATAATAATAATTAATAATTATAAACGTAGCAAACAACGTTCAGTAAGAGCGTCTAGATGGGTAAATAACTCGGCGGTCACGCATCGCGCACTGTTTTCACGATAAATTTCACGTTACATTATAGCTAAACCAAACACAGCAATGTGTCATTCGTGTGGCGTATATAAATAATATTATACTCGGTGTACTCTCCCCTTTAACGCTACCATGGCCTCGACGGTTAATAAACTGCAGTCAAACCTCCATATAGCGGCTACTCGCGGGAAACGTATTGAAATTATGCTTTCATTGACGGATGCCGTTATATAAAGGTGGCTTCACTGTATGACTGGCATCCAAGGGACGCGCTTAAAGTGTCCTGCGCGTCTGGCTTCATCGTGAAAGAAGTTCCCGCAGCGTCTCGCAAATTACTAAGAGCCACTAATTGTCGCTGTGATTTAGTTGAGCACGATTCAAAACGTGTCTCGTGCGTAACAGCAGCGCTCTTACACGTCTCATCGTCATTAACGCAAGAATGACTCGGCTTGGATGTAATCGCCGTTGTGGTAAGGTGCTGCAGTTGTTTGCATTCTGCTGCGGATGAAGCATTAATATCATGACTATCTCTACACGCTAGTAGGCCTACCCACTGCGTTAAAACGGCACGTTCTTGCAGCAAAATACATAGATATACCTACTGTGAGCTCGTCCATGTTGTAAAAATTCACTACAACTTATTTGTATTGCTACTTTCACAACACTTCTTCATTTCTAAACGAAAAAACTTCTCAAACGAATGTAGCACCACAGGATGTTTACACATCCGGTACACTGCCGAGCGAACGCTGTGCTGCATTAACAGTTCTTTTCTATGATAACACATGTTATACTTTATTGATGATGTTTACTCAGTACGAAATTGTGAAATTTGTTTAAATCATATGTTATCTACATTACTTATGAAATTAGGAAACAAATATAGTGTTTTTGTTCCAGAAACTATTTACGCTAGCGTAGGCTCTTCACTCCAAAACAACTTATGTGTATCTATACGCCGAAACCGCGTCGAACGAAGTTTTTCCCTAGTTCGGAGCACATTTCTGGCGCAATAAGAACATTTCGTGATGTTTGCATACTGCAAGTATGCTCACAGTAGGTGTAAGTAGGCTTTTTGTTGCGAGGTTTATCTACTTTAAACATCAGAAATGCATCAGATATGTTCGTTCGAAGTCGCACTAGTTGCTAATGCATCAGGCTGGTAATTTAACATAAAAGGCAAGCAGTTTATATGTCATACGAAATAAAAAATACGTGTGATTTTTTGTCTAGTACGTAAAAACATAGCACCAATAAGCGTGTCTGCGTGTTATGCGTCTACAGCGACCTCTAGTAGAGATATCGCGTTCGCACATCAACCAATCAGCGATGTGATACGTGACATTATTAGACGTTCAGCACGTGCGCGCAAACGTTTGTCTGTTTTATTTTCCCGGAGAGAACAGCTTGGATTCCAACGTTGTTCTCAAAATTAGATTTCCTGCTCTGTTTGGCAGAGTTGGTGGCTCTTTCTGGTCGCATTCGCATGGAAGCCGGAAGAGGCACACGGGAAGCGCACTTCAGTTTGTACAAGCATACTTTCCAGGTCAAGATGGCGTCATTATTTGAGACATCCCGTCTCTCCCACAGGTAGCTGATATTTTGGTGTGAAAGTCATTCACATCCATTTGCCAGTTTCGCAAACCCGTAAAATTTTTGCGATTTCCACGGCCATACACCTTTCACTGACGCAAATGCGCACGATTTATGTAACAAGAACATCATATTATAATTATGAGCAATTTTATTAATTTATAATAACTATGTGCATTAAATGGCGAACGTTTATAGTTCTTACACGCGTAGCGTTTTTGCAATTTACACCTAGTAGACATATTTTTCAATGACGTCAACGCGCGCGGTTATGTAATAAGATCATTATCTTAAAATTATGATTAACTTTATTAATTTATAATAACTAGGCGCGATTCTTTATACTTCATCAACCAGTAAGCTAATTGTGTTTGTATTCGCCAACTATTCTGTAAACTGTAAAGCGTTTTCTGTAAAGAAGCGTAACTATTCTGTAAAGAAGCGTGGAGTTATAGGGTTTTTGGTGATACGTACGTGCACCTTACCTCACGAACCACCCCGTGCAACATGACAACATGTAAAGAGGCCTCACGATGTACACATGTAATGGACAGAGATGACATACTGCTGTAATAATGTTACCAGCTCATTGTTATTGGCCTAGCGCCTGTTGCTGGTACACACGCACGCGCGCACACACACACACACACACACACACACACACACACACACACACACACACACACACACACACACACACACACACACACACACACACACACACACACAAACACACGTGCGCTCATACACACCACACGCACGGACACACGAACACACGCTTAGAAAAATGGGGCGTTAGTGTCAAGTAACCGCACAGCATCCATCAGCTGTTTTCAGCTCTTTAGAAAAAAATGACGAAAACGAAATTGCCATTAGCTACACCAATACTGCGAAACACGCAATTCACACATTTACTCCACTCACAATAACGACATTGGAGAGCTGGCTTCAAAAGCTCAGGTTAATCCACCGCTCCACTGCATTTTGCAGTATTCCCTAACCATACCTTATACCCTAATCTATGATTCACGTATGTACATCATTTATTATAAAAGTCTTTGTAAAAATCTTAAAACGGGAGTGCAAATAAAGAGTATTGTGACAGAAGGGAGTGCACTGCGAACATAACCCACACTTTTAGCGTGTGCTAAAATAATACAACTGCCACTCCGTTCGCAGCACAACTTGCAATAACCTACGTATAACGATAACACGCTACTATATGGGCTGATTTTACTATACAAACCACAAATCTTTCGGCCTACGAGGACGGCGCAGTGCTACACTGAAACCGACTGAGTTCATATCACAGCAGTCGATTCGGATCACGTGTTGCGGACAGCCAATTACGTCTAGCGCTGAGCGCCCATAGCTACCGAAAACAATCCCCAGAAACATGTCTGCCGTTGCTTCGAGCGGAATCAGAAATCCGCACCGATACCACAAGTATATTCATCTAGCACGTAGTTACGGCGGCCGGATAGCCGCGAATGCAACTCGCGTTAAACAATACTCGTCTGTGTTATGTTCGCCCACGTCAGACGTATTCAAAATGTCAACGTATGGCCGCCGCAGGGGTGGTCTGCGCATTATTAGCTCTGCAACGATTCGTTCGTACATAGCTTCGCGTTGCAAGAATTATATACATTCGCGGAACTATCACACATTGGCCCTGTCACGTGGCCCTGTCACACATTGACGATTTAGCCAGCGTATGCCGGACGTATCAAAATGTCTCTAAAACGCTGGCATACGCTGAACTATCGATGTTTTTTTCAATTTTGGGCGTATACATAGCGTATTCATAACGAGTTGGACGTATACATAGCGTATTCATAACGAGTTGGACGTATACTTAACGTATTAGTAACGTATATAGAACGTTTCGATAACTTATAGATAACTTATACCAACGAATGCTTAGCGTTTTGCCGGCGTTCACAACTTATGCCAAACGATAGTCTAACTTATGCATAGCGCGCGGCAGCGTATCGCCGACGATCACGTGTCGTAGCCTATAAAAAGGCTCCCGCTCGACGATTCAAATCATAACCGCACTAGACATCGCAGTATCAACATCACCGTCGCAGTATCAACATGCCAATACCATTTTTATATACCAATTCCCCTAAACGCTGCCAATACGCCATTATACGGTAGCTGTAAGTTAGAAACATGTTCAGTAAGTTCTGTGGTCGTCCGGAACACGTCAAATACGTCAATATGCGTTGGAGACAAGTTACACATAGGTTCAAAGCACGTTACTCATAAGTTAGAAATAAGTTTTGGGTACGCTAGACATTATCTCGACGTATTTCGACTTATGAGTAACTTACAAGTAACGTGTGTGAACGTGTGTCAACGATCGCATAACTTACCTACAACTTATGGCCCGCGTATGCGGGACGTATGGGGATACGCTGGCATACGTCGGAAAATTTTGAGCATGCTCAAAATTTTTCGACGACCTCGTCGTACTACGACGTATACCAGCGCGCTTCAGCGTGCTTCAGCGTGCTCTTAACTTATACAAAGCTTACCCATAACGTATTCGACGTACGCCAGCGTATTCACCAAATTTTTTATACGTCCGGCATACGCTGGCTAAATCGTCAATGTGTGACAGGGCCATATAGGAACTATACACAGCTACGCTTCTCAACGACAAACAGTGTCAGTCGGTGCGGGTATACTACACTCTGACCATAGCTATACATACAAACACATGTGTTTGTATCATAGAACTATATAGAGACACTAACTAGTATTATTATGATTATTATTTATTATTTAGCATTATTACCTCCGCCAGGGGCATGGCGGGGGTTATGTTTTCACCGGCGAGTTTTTGAGTGTTGGTTTGTGTGTTACCATGCACGTTTCAGTTCACTTCCGCTAGGTGCGCTGGCTGTAGACTTACAAACACGCAACCACAGGCTAAGAGGCAACCACAGTCCTCCCCACCTGCACGCTCGCACTAATCCGGATCGAATTAATTATTTAATTAATTAATAAATTAATTAATTTTTCCACTTAATTAATTAATTAATAAAAAATTTCACATTGAGAGAATTCAGCTGCCTTGGCGGAGGTCTGTGCTCTCCGAGTGCTCTAGTTATGATTAGTATTATACTAGTCTAACTAGTATTATTTTCATGATTTGTATATATCTATGTTCTGACGAAACGCTGCGCTATGCGCATCAGACATACGGAATCAAGAGCGACAGGCCAGCAAAATGTTTATGAAGAGCATTGTCGTCTTGACTAATTCAATGAAAAGAAAATCAGGAACAAAAATTAGATAGGGAAGTGGCCACTGCACATTACAGTAATGCGTTACAGGCTAAAACTTGGCATAATTGTAATCCAACATCACTCCTAGTCCCCAAGCGTTCTGAATGCTCATTGGTCAAAGACATTCATTATTATAAATTTTTACTAATTTAAAATTTAAAATTATTAATTATTACAAATTAGACTTAAAATGGGTCATGACGATACATTTATGCTACAATACCTTAGCAAGCTTTACGTTACACGCCACGAGTTGATACGTCTATAGTCATATTGCGGATTAGCAGACTGCTAGTGATGGAGGGCTCTTCATGACAATGAAAGGCTGTGCCGTGAGATTACATATCTGTTTGCATTTTTAATTAATTTGCGAGCGTCTTTAAGCGGTAAGCGCATCGGAATAAAAGAATCATTTAGAACCACATAATGAAGGCAGTCAGATACAGCGACCACGCATATACCGTGTTTCTCATCGGAAAGTTGGGCGAATCCAGCCGTGGGCGCGTGGATCGCCTCTTGTTTCTAACCGATTCGCACGGGGATCGCCTCTTGTTTCTAACCGATTCGCGCGGGGGTCGCCTTATGTTTCTAACCGATTCGCGCGGGGATCGCTTCTTGTTTCTAATCAATTCGCGCGGGGATAGCCTCTTGTTTCTAACCGATTAGCGCGTCTACGCTTGACTGACGCAGTGACGTAATCATTTAGAAGCAACATGAGGGCCGCCGTGGGGACGTGTAAACGTTAAATGTCAACGCGTCTAGCGTTTTATTTCTCGCGATGGAAAAACAGTTGCCGCCACGCGGGACGCACTTACCGAGCCGCGTCTGTCACGCTAACGCGTCACTGTTCGCGGTCTCGAACGACATTTCTCATTTATCACGGTGTGTGGGCAACACGAGACTCGAGGTGCGATCAATGTATCATGGGCGGGTTTTTCTACACTGCACCACGCCGGGAGCCGAGGTCGCGGGCTCTTGTTTGGTCAGTGATATAATAGAATGATAGATAATAAAGGCGACGAACAAGGTGAATAAAACAATACGTGATACAAAGAGTAATATAAAAACAGGAAATAAAACAAATACAATTCACATTTAATGCCGAAGTATTAATTCGTTTGTATGCTACACCGCCTAATGATTCTATTTAGCTGCTAGGTGAATGCACGCATCTCATCGCACGCACGCTGGTACATAGAACCACCGTAGCCGGTAAAC